TACTTAAAGGGGGCTTATAAAAAAGATGGTGGCAAACTTTTCAGCAGGGCCTGTTGTGACAGGACAAGGGGGAATGGCTTTAAACTAAAGGGGGGGAGATTTAGACTAGATATAAGGAAGTAATGTTTTACGCTGAGGGTGGTGAAGCAGTGGAAGAGGTTGCCCAGCGAGGTGGTGGCTGCCCCATCCCTGGAAACATTCCAGGTCAGGTTGGACGGGGCTCTGAGCAACCTGATGTAGTTGAAGATGTCCCTGCCCACAGCAGGGGGGTTGGACTAGATGACCTTTAGAGGTCCCTTCCAACCCAAACTATTCTATGATTTTATGAAGTTCAGGAATTCGATTTAGGATGTTCCTTTTTGTATTTATGGCCTTAGCTTAGCAGCTAAATGCGTGGACTATACACTTGAGAGGTTCATTTTAGCCTCCAATTAGGGAAACTGGTGCCTCAGCTGAGGCAGTCAGCTTTGCAGACCAAGACTGTATATTTGCCAACTGGGTTTGCAGACCAAGCCTTAAAATTAGTGTTCTGAAACTCATATTAGCTTTTGGTGAAACTTTATACTGAAAGTGAGACCTCAAGCCCATTAGAGAGATTAGAAAGACCAGATTTATAACTTGCCCTACTGCCTGAGAAATGTTTCAGGATGCAAAATAAAATGGGAATTTGCAGACACAGGTTTTTTTGTGGATACTTAAATGAGACTAATCCCTCTTTTCATACAAAGTTGTGCACCTATGCACATTGTCATCTGACCAACACAGCTGTAAATTTGGGGTATTGTATTTTCAGAAGACTGCAGAGTCAGTACGTCTGTTTGCTGTATAAAGTATGTGTAAAAGATGTAGGCAAAGAAAAAAAAAACAGGGAAGATTCCCTCATTTTTTCTGTGTTTATATAATTATTTGTTTCCTTATGCACTTGCAAACAAATGTCTATAGCGCTTTTTAAGCATATTCTAAATTATGAGTGAGCTGTCACATCTTGTGTGAAATGACAAAAATTTATGAAGTCTTATAACATATGCGTTCTTTTCCTTAATTCATTTATTTACATTGTTCAGTATGTTTATTATGTGCACTATTTTAACTAATTGTGTGTTCATGGCACAATCAGAGCCTCCGCCATGGAATAAATACGTTGAGTAAGTATCGTTGCTATTTTACAGCTGCCCTGTCATTATCTTGTCCTTCCTCCCCCATTTGTTACGTTCTTCTTTTAATTTTGTTTGCTGTAGTCTAATTTCTTTCCAGTAACACTGACCACAGCATACGTCCTGACAAAATATTTTGTCAGGCATTTGTTGCCTGTGAAAATTCCCTTTGTAAGTCAACTAACAATTTTTAGTCTACCAGGCTCATACTTATTGCTAAACACACCTGCTATGCTACCTCTGAATGAAATCATGTATGAGGAGAACTCCGTTTGAAACTGGCCAGCCTTCCACAGTTCCCATGCAAGAGATTCAATGGCTGGACACATTAGAATAGGCTGATGGAGTTTAAGTTGAATTATTTCAGAAAATACTTCCTGGACATACTTAATTCTGTCCTTAAACTGAAACTTATTGGAAGTAAAATTTTCTTTTGGACTCAGCACATCATGAGAAGTGTTCCCCTGTGATCGTTGGTAGGCATACTTTATGAGCAAGCATGAAATTGTCTGGGAACACTTTTATGAGGATTCCTGCCTTTTTAGCTTGTCAAACCTTCAGAAAAAATAGCAAAGATATCACTTGAAGGCTTTTTTGCTTGCTTTTTTTTTTTTTAATTAATTTTAAAAGAGACTAACTGGCTTCAGAAAGCCCATTTGATTTCTTTAAGTTGCTTTAAAATATTCCTGTTAGAAACAGATACCAGATGCACAAGCTAATCAACCTACAGTGCATTAAACAATTATTTTGGCTCATTGAACCAATCGGAACACACTTTTTATTTTTGACTGACATATGATAAACACAGCCATCTGCTGCTCCGTAGCCTGGTGGTTGGTCTACTCAGGCTGTAAGGAAAGACAGTAAAATGCCCTTATTTTAAGTTTCATAAAATCATGCAGGGCACATCTTCTAGGCCATAAATTACTAATTATAGATATCACTGAACCAAATATTTCATCCGATCACAATAACGTCCTAATCCCAGGATGTTTCCTGTATTTCTGTATGGTGTACTACCCTCAAGTATGCCCGTGACTTTCCTTTTCCCCTGACGTTGTCCTTTTCTTATTGAAAACTGTCACACAGTACCATAGCCAAGATGTATTCAGCTGAAACACGGACATCTCATCCATGTGAGTCAAAATTTGGTCAGTGGGTCTGCAGCTGGGAATTTGAACATTCTGGAGGAAAATATCAAAGCGCTTGTTGTGTCTTCCGTAGGCAGGAAAATGTGGATGATGTTATGAGTGCATCAAGCAGGACATGCAAGAAACGTAGAGCAGAAATGCAAATGGACCCATGCAGCATGGAGTAAACCCTTTCCCTTCCATGTTTCCTCTTCTCCTGCGTCCCCTCATACCTCTCAGCTTTTCCTCCTCAAAAGCATAGAATGAAATCAAAGGCAAGTACTTTTGAGGAGCAAAATAACTCGATGAACTTTAATTCAAATTGATTACTATTTGATTTGGAAAAAATACATTTAATTCGTTTTGTTCTGCTGTTCCAGAGACTCACAGGGGATACAAGAGTAATCTTGTGCAAATATTTTTCCTAGATCTTCCTTTAAAACATTTTCCTTACCATTTTGAAAAAAGAAATCAATTCAACTTACCCCCACTAAAGATTTTTTAAAAATCCTGGCTTCTGTTGTTAAAGAAGCTGTTCAGTTGCTGGAGGACTTTGCCCGATCCATTTAGAATTAGATGATGATTATACAATCAATTAAACCATCTGACATGCTGAATAAATACAACTGCTTTATCATTTTAATGAGCTTATGTACCATTAAGTATTTTTTTCAGTTCTTTGCATGTGTTTTCTGCATGTATTACTGAATACACATGCTTAAAGAGACTGTCACATGGATGACCTATATTTGAAATACCAGAGCAAAACTGAATAGGAGCCATGAAAAGTCGGATACAAGGTAATGCTTAGGTGTATGGTCAAAGAGGAGATATGAGAAATATTTTACGCCCACTGTTGCACAAAAACAGTCTTGCTAATCTCCATTTTAAGATGAAGCATACTGAGGGTTTATAACATCTGTAACTAGCTCTACTGTGTGACATGATGGCAGGAGGGCGTGAGATTTGCCGCTACCTGTATGTGTGCCCAGTTGCAGATCAGCGGAATACAGCTGAGAGAAAACATTTCCTTTTTATGCATAATGAAGTTCTTCCTTATATTACCACCTTTAATTGCTTACATCTTTTTTTTTACCAAACAGGAATCCCAACTGTTATAATTTTTTGTGTGTGGTGGCACCATTATAGCTACTGAAGTTTGGGGACTGAACAGAAAACTCAAGCTAGTGTTTCCAGTGAAAGCCCCTAACATTATGACCTACGAGATTTGTGTTTTATGGGATTTTAGGTGTTTGTTTAGGGTTTTTTAATAGGCTTTGGTATCATCTGCATCTTCATTTGGAGAAAAGGGGTAGGGAATGCCAGTGGTGGTTACTAAACATTTGTTATTTTTATTAAGATACGGCCTAGAATACGTAGTCCCACTGGGCTAGTTGTCTCAGGTAGAAACATTAAAAAAGAGGTGTTGTATGCCCTGAAGTATGTCTCTGATGGTAGGTAGAGCCCTGGGTGAATACAGCTCTGAATGTTGTAAGTCAGATACGTTACTGTCCTCCACAGAGAATTTGGTAAATTTTATTACAAGCATCATCTTTATTACAAAAGGTAAAAGATGTATGTTCTATCCAAGATCATCACAGTCAAGAGGCTGTTGGTAATAAACAACTTACCTTACTAAGGGGAAAAAACACCCTCGTATCTCTTTTACTGTCAAGCAGGTCAAAATTACTACATATAGTATTCGGGTGGGAGTTGTTTTCCTCTTTTTCAGTGAGGACATTCTGTTGTTTAATTCTGAGGGCTGGTGTGATTTACCATGGATAGTGAAACACAAGGGAAGTTGCAGGAAGAATACCCTTTTTAGCTATTAAAAGCTAGTGGTGACATTTTTTAACCTGCTGTCCTTCAAAATGGCCTGGGCAGGAAGAGATGAGAGGTATGAACGGAACAACCACCCTCCTTCAAATCAGAGAAACAACAAGGAATGTGGCATAATCTATTCCTCTTTCAGTGGTGATTGCAGGAAGAGCTTCAAAAGTCCCATACCACAGCTTAGTAGTATTCATGCTTGAATTAATGAGTGAGGATTCATCAAGGTACACCCTGTGGTGAAAATCGTCTTTATCCTGTGGCTGTCATGAGCGCTTTCCCATTTCTTACATGCTCCTTGGTCCACACATGAAGCTGCTCATACACAGCCCAGTGCTGCAGCCATGACTCACATGAGCAACCCCAACGAGATGGGCAGGAGTGTCTCATGTGAGTAGGATTGGGTTGAGTGTGCCTCTGCCATTCCTGCCATCTACTGCTTGCTAATGCTCTTGCTTATCTTGGCTACTTTATTCCCCAGGTACACTTTCACTGGCATTTACACTTTTGAGTCATTGATAAAAATATTGGCGAGAGGATTTTGCATGACAGAATTCACCTTCCTTCGAGATCCATGGAACTGGCTGGATTTCAGTGTTATTGTTATGGCGTAAGTAGCACTCCTTTATGTATTTCAAGACAGCAATATGCAATAGTACCTTTTAAAAAATTGGCTGGCTGTTCTCTTTTTTTCATTCAAATTGTACTGAAAATGAGAAAATGCTGAAGTATATTAGGATGGAGTTTGTTTTCCTGAGTGGTTTCAGAGGAAGAAGTCAGAGGAATTATTGATTCTCTCAATTCACTAGAATATTTTGGAGAAATTATTTACTCTCTCTGTGCTCCACAGAGAGAGCTGTTTGTAAAATATCTGTAATAATACTTGCCTACCTAATGTAGTTTTGGGAAGCTTCAGACCCCTGAATAGAAAGTGTTATAAGTCTGACTGAATACCCATGTATTTAAATCCCTATTTATAATCTATCCATCTATAACACCACCAAAGTTGTTTTCACATCCTTCACTTCACAAACCCTCTTCATCCTGAAAAGTAATTACTATTTTACTACTATAGGGAATTAATTTAAAGGCCTCTGAAACTTGTTATATGTCTTGGGAATAGAAATTTGGCCCCCAACACGATATTCCCCTTCAGCTGTATACTTCTACCTAGATCATTAGAGTTCACTCAGGACATGTGGGGTTCTGGTGCTTTGAAGAAGCTGATGGATTTGTGGCATCTAGACAGCTAAAAATACACGGGGGTAGGGGAGCAGTCAGCCAACACTCGCAGCAGACACGGTGTCAGCCCAAACTCTGGCCAAAGGCAGACGTCTGACACTGTCGGTATCTCCAGCTGAGCTAGAAATCCAGATTTTCTTCATAGTCAAAAAAGAGAGAAAAGCACGTGAAGAGAGCATGTCATCTTGAACTGGAAGCTAGTAGAGATGACCTGAAAGGCCCCATTTCCTAATCGTAGAAGGATTTCATCTGATGTCTCTGTATTTTCTGCTTAATGATATCTATATTATGTTCTAGTTTTAGTTTAGTTCTCGCTGCCTTCTTTAAACCTCATAATTCACAGCCTTAGGTGAGATGCAAGCCTGCTAGCGCTGACATTTGAGCTGAACTCCTGGGCCCATGACATTTGAATGGGACCAAAATTGGTAAAAAATGTTCAGCCAAACTTAGTTCAAACACCAGTGAGGGCCACTGAATTTAGTAGCAAAACTCTGGTAGGCTGCAGGGATCAGGACCAATATTCTTAGCAGCATTTAGCAGAGGAACAGCATGAAGATGTGTAAAACTTATGTGGACTTCATCGGGAAGACTCCCATTTATTTTAGTAGGCTTTGGATCAAAGCCAGCCCTAGGCCAGATCCTGGTATCTGTTACTACATTCCTATGGATTTGGCTGAACTGACATCTGGCCATTGTGATAAGCTTTTAAAAAAAAAAATGCAGCACAGATGGGGAGGAGCTTTTGGAGGTCGGCACACGTTAGGTATTTTTCTCAGCTAAACATTTCCTCAAGCAGTGCTTGAGGAGTGCAATTCTCCTGCAACATTTAGAGGCAGGACAGAACACAAAGTGTCACCAGCCTGCTCTCCTGTCCATCAGACAGCTGGTAAAAGCGGGGTACCATAGTTCATCTGTGAGTTGGGATGTGAGTTCATTTGCGGGTCTCTGAATTCAGCACAACATGGAGATCTTCTGTGCATGGGTTCCCTCTGTTCTACAAGGCAGAAGGGTTTTGACAGTGAGGCAGAAAGGAGCAGAGAAAAGGACAAGATGAGCCACAGCTTGCAGCCTTGGCAATGCATCTGCTCCACCTCATCTTCTCAGCTTGAGCGGAGGTTGGGGCATCACCCCCGGCTCTGCAGAACTCCTCCGGGAGCATCTCATTTACTGTCACTGAAATTCGAGTCTGAACAGTCAGTGTGGGACAAGGTCTGGATATCCCTTAAATTCTGTCCACATTATCTCTGGGTGTTTGGGGCTTAGTGAGCTGGAAAGATGTGAAGGTTTGCACAGACCTCGAGGTGGACACTTGCCCAGAGGTGATTCACTCCCTGCAGGTAGGAACCAGGGTTTGGTTCCCAGCGGCTGTGGGCTTACACCTCTTTTTGCTTTTCTGATTCTTCTAGACTTGAATGGCCACTCAGTGCTCCAGCCCAAGGATTCATGAAAACTTCCTCAAGCCTTATTTAATGAGAGGCTTGGGTGTCTGTGCTTTCCTTCCTAGCTACACTTCAATTTTCTTTCCAAATGATATTTCATCTTTTAATTAGAAGATCCCTAAAACAGGGGGGCTTGCAACTGTGAAAAATCAAGTTTCTCAACATCAAATTATAGCAATGGCTGCGTTCTTCAGAACCGGCTGCCATTCCTATTGTTTCTTACTTTAAGGCATGTTATAGTAACATTTTTAGAATAGAAACAAAAGAATTGGAATTCTGGAATAGAAAAGAAATAGAAAAGTGTTTCCTTGAGCCCATAGGCAGCAGTGACAGAGTTAAAAGTGACTGCAATGCAATCTTCATATGTACAATGAAACTTCCTTCCCAAGCATGCAAGCAGCAGATAATACAGAGCGTTGGATAATGGACTTTGTTCTGATATGATTTATCCTTCACATAAATCCAATTTGCAAGTAATTTAAAGTGAGACTGATTATACAGGTAACTGTCTTTGCTTGTAGCTAGTGTGATGCGAGAGGTATTTCTGTATCTGGAAACAAAGACGGCATAAGAGTTCAAAATGGGAAAGCCTGACGAGGGGCCACGAGATCTAGATGGACCAAGGGTTTTGAGCTAACAGGAAATCTGATTCTTTCAGTGGTGGGTGTTATAGTGGAATGACCATCACTTGCTTTAGAGTTATTGCAAAATAACTTCTTACCTCCTCTTTTGGGCAGTAACAGCACAGATTGGGTCACAGAGAGTAGTTTTAAATAGCACGCTAGAGAGTAAGAGGTGTCACAGGTCTCCAGGGCTTTTGTCCCACCCTGTGCTAACAGACACAGCCATGGCTTGTGACCCTCTGTGGGGCCATGGATGGGTTCAGGGGAAGTTATGAAACTGCCCCTGTTTAGATCACTCTTTCCCACACGAGCCAGTACTTTCCAGAACAGGCAAGGGAGAGGCAGCTGTACCTCTGGGTTGGAAAGTGCCCTGCCAAAAGCTTAAAGACAATAAGCAATTCCCTGGCTAACAGGAAAATTTGTGATGGGAATTCCAGTTGCTTCTTACTCCCTGATACAGAGGAACTGGTCTGCTGCAATTTCATCCAAGAAATGGCCGAAATAAATCTTAATTGACTAGCATATGAACAAGCATATGAAGCAAATACTACTGCTGCTTGTTCACATATTAATAATGTGTTTTTACAAATCTCTGGTCAGCAAAACCATATTCCCCTGCTATTGCTTCTCCCCAAATTATTTTTTTCCACCCTTGCATGCTGCAGAAGAGTTTGGGAGAGAAGCACTGGGTAAACCTGTGCAGGAATTCCCAAACAGGTAAATCTTTGCCCAGACTCCCCTATGAGATTATGAAGAGGAGAAGCGATATTGTTCTTCCAGGTTATAATCTGGATTAGTAGATATGGAGAGGATGCTTTGTCCTCCCCAGAGGCCTTTGCACAAAGCCCACTTAAGCAGGCTTTGAAAAATAACCAGGTGAGTTTTTTCCTTAACACGTAAAAACAAATGCCTCAAAGAAGTAGAATATGTAAATGAAATTTACTGGAAGTTTAATAGTGAAATTAAAGGGTCCAAGAGCTGTTTTGTTCAGAAGATACAGTGGTGACTATGCTTTTACTGTATACTGACTTGGAGGAAATAATTTTGTACAACACTGATAAAACCAAACTCATTCCATAACTGACCCTCCTGGGAGCATTTTGTTCAGATGTGGTATGGGTCTCCACGATGACCAAAATAGGCACAGCAGTGAAGAGCTGGGATTGGTATTTTAAGCATAAATAGTTTTTAGTAGGATTTCAATTATATCCATTCAAAATCCATCTTTCTGCAGCCAAAGTTCATGGATTTGATGTACAAAACCAAGTAAAATTTTAAGCATCTCTTGAAACCAACATCTGCTTTACCACAGAGTACAGCATCTTAGAATATATAACCTGGTAGAAAAATTTGCACTGATTTTTTTCCCATGTTGTCCTATATGTAGTTTGCAGAAGCTATTATGTGAAAATTACTTGGGTATTTGAAGCTTTTATTTTTTTTTAAGAGCAGCAAAATAACTCTTAATGTTTCCTATAACGTAAAGATTTTTTTGTTAAACTACATGATGGTAAAATCTTTAAAGTATTTATTGCTGAACAGCACGATAACAAAGTTCACCCAGTAGTTTTAAAGAATTGATGCCTATTAGATAAGTTTAATAGTTCAAGAAACATTTGAAATAATGTGTCCTATGAAAAACCCGGGACAAATGGCATCAAAGAACAGCCTGAAAAGCGGATGCACCTCTCATTCGGCTGCGTTCGCTCCCGCTATGTATGAATGCATACTTCATTCAGACAAGTCTCATACTCTATTGTATAATTCCAAATAACTGTGACTTAATTCTACAGGTATGTAGGAGAATTTGTGAATGTAGGCAGTGTTTCACCTCTTCGGACTTTCAGGGTATTGAGAGCTTTAAAAACTATTTCAGTAATCCCAGGTAAGAAACCCTGATCCTTACGTTTTGGCTCTCAGCTACAAGTGATTCTTTCTCTGTCTCTCTTTGTCCCTTTGACTGTTGTTTTTTTGCTGGTGTTTTGTCATTGTCTGTGTGTGACTTTCCCTTGTTACAGATACATAACTGAATTTGTGGACCTGGGCAATGTCTCAGCCTTACGAACGTTCAGAGTACTGCGGGCGCTGAAAACAATCTCAGTCATTTCAGGTGAAAATCAGGTTAAACACTTCGGCTGCAGTTAAAGCCTACATGCCATTTCCAGTAGTAAACACAGCAATTACAAATGACTTAACCATAGATACTGATCAGGAAATGGAGGAATGTAGGGAATGTGACCTGTCAATAGAATACATTTTTCATATGTTTTCCAATACTGTTTTTCTTGGGCAGAAGGAATTAGAGTGCTTCCAAAATTACAGACCTCATTAAAACGAGTGCTGCTGTAAGAACGGCGGTATGCAGTGGCTCATGAATCACATACGTAAAGTATTCATTCATGAGCCATATGAAAATGGCAATGAAACTCTTTTAAAGTCTTCGGATATTGATTTTTAAAAATGGAAGGTTAATGACCTCAAAATGCGTATTCGTGTTTAAAAGCGCATCAATAGAGGAATCTAAATCCGTGCTATGAGCCGAGGTTTCAAGACTGCAGGCATAGACAGCCTCATTTCTCATGGTGTTTATCCATTTGCATGTGATAGAAACACTGTTTAAATTTTGGATCCTGAAGAGATCAGTAAATATTTCATCATTGATTTTGATAGATTCAGCATTTCACCAACACACATTTTCTCACATTTTAAAGGATATGATTTCCAAATGACTTAACCATAGATACTGATCAGGAAATGGAGGAATGTAGGGAATGTGACCTGTCAATAGAATACATTTTTCATATGTTTTCCAATACTGTTTTTCTTGGGCAGAAGGAATTAGAGTGCTTCCAAAATTACAGACCTCATTAAAACGAGTGCTGCTGTAAGAATGGCGGTATGCAGTGGCTCATGAATCACATACGTAAAGTATTCATTCATGAGCCATATGAAAATGGCAATGAAACTCTTTTAAAGTCTTCGGATATTGATTTTTAAAAATGGAAGGTTAATGACCTCAAAATGCGTATTTGTGTTTAAAAGCGCATCAATAGAAGAATCTAAATCTGTGCTATGAGCCAAGGTTTCAAGACTGCAGGCATAGATAGCCTAATTTCTCATGGTGTTTATCCATTTGCATGTGATAGAAACACTGTTTAAATTTTGGATCCTGAAGAGATCAGTAAATATTTCATCATTGATTTTGATAGATTCAGCATTTCACCAACACACATTTTCTCACATTTTAAAGGATATGATTTCCCCCCCCCAAAAAAAAAAAAATTGTATTTTACTACAGATCTGGTAGTGAAAGAAGCTCTTTTTTCATAACTTTTTATCCAATCTATTACTATTTCTTAAAATAATAAATAATATTTACTATTAAGTAATTTATGCAGAGATGAGCCCACTCTCAGTGGACTAACCATATGACAATACTTTCTTGCCAAGCATTATCTATGGACAGGTCTCATTCAGCCTCAGTGTTTAACAGCTCCAACCTGCATGACAAGGTAGAGAAGATAGCAAAAACCATGCATGGTAGATCCTATCGGTGATCATCCTGAACAGATGTTGGCAATTGCATGTCAAAAATAGTCAAAACATCGAGAGAACTGCTCAGATTCTCACGCACAGCTCTTTAAGGTTAGAAAGGCTCTTCCATCCATCATATTATAGAATCATAGAATCATAGAATCACCACTTCCCTGGGCAGCCTGTTCCAATGTTTCACCACTCTTTCAGTAAAGAAATTTTTATGCACATCTACACTATAATATAAATCTAAACAAATTCTGTGGTGTAAACTTTTAGGGACAACACTCACGCGGACTATAAGCTAGAAATGGGAATTCTGGAATTGAGGTGTTAAGAAAACATATATATGTGTCTAGGGCTTACTTCCTCATTTCGACATTAAAGTAATGAAAATCAGTGAAATTATTGAAAGAGCAAGGTACTTTTCATTGAACGTGTATGTCAAAATATAGCTTTTATAGAATACTTTAAGACGATTAGGTCTGGTATTCCTTCAAATCAGTTCCTGTCTTAATTTTTGTCTTTAAGTTTAAAAAGAATAATCAATTAGCAGAGAGGTTTTGTTACGTTTTCTCTAATCAGATTTACACTGAGAAAGGATTTTTTTTTTCTTGGGAAACAGAAAGCTGAGCACAGTTTTACAGATCGTATGGGGTAGTAGTGGCTAATCAGAAAGAAAACTGGAGTTTCCTAGCTTCCTTCGCTAGCGAGTTGAAGACTAACTTGGAGGGACAGCCATCTCCAGGGGACACCTTTCGCTTTCCATCTTGTCTCAAGCTTGAGCCTCTTCAGAGCAGAGCCTGTCAACTTTGCTTAGTTATATATATAGCAATTTTCTGCTGTTCTTTCTCAGAGTTGGAGCAGAAGCTTGTCTTACATCAAATGATAAATTTTGGCTGTTTTTTTAGGGGGGAAAAAAGGAGTATTGAGATTCAGAAAAACTTTATTTAAAAATACACCAAAGCCCTTCAGTGATATTAAAACCAGAGTTGTTCCATTTCTTGGTTAATAGGAAAAAAAAAAAAAAGATGAGGAGTATTATTTATTAGAGTAATACATAATAACTCACATTCTCTTTTTTTCTTTCTGACTGACTATTTGATTAGTTTTTTGATAACTGCATTTTTAGGTACAAGTAACTAAATCATTTTCTGACATAACTGCATGGAGATATGCTAATAGAATATCTGGCCTTAGATTTTATTGACAAGATTACCTGTGCCCTGAGTATGTTTAAATTACAGACGTGGAGAGCTACAAATCGCCAAGGAACACCTAGCTGCCTGTAAAACACAGCGAAGTTGTTTGGGGTTTTTTTTAATGTTAGCAGATAATTTCAGAGGAGTCGGTTCATTTTTCAGTTATATACCTATATGTTCAAAGAAATATTGGGCATGATGCTGTGGTTTATTTGGAGATAAGTCTGAGTTTTTAATGATAACATAGGCTTATGCTGAGATGAAATATTTTTCCACGATAGGCTTAAAAATGAAAAGATGATGACCACTAATATCTTCCATGAGATTTTTGGGTTCAACTGCTAGAGAGACGAGAAGAAAGTTGTTATTTTTGCTTCCTCTTTTTACATCTTACGTGAAGAACGCTGAGATGTATTCTCCTTTGCAAATATCTAGGCTTTTCATCAATAAAATTGATCACAGTTTTCCATCAGGTAGTTATGTTTGCACAAACATACTTGGACTCAGCATGCTCAGTGAAATTGTTTACCGAAAGTAACGGGCCAAGTCCTCCATGGTGTAAGGCTTCTGTCCAGCGAAGCACTTAGAGGCTGGTTTTCAAAGGCATTCTGCCTCACTTGAAATCAATGAGTTTCACTATTGACTCCAGAGGGAGTCAGTAAAGCTAACAATTAGTGCTTTTAAAAATCTCACCTACCTTTAATGCCTCGCTCTAAGTGTGCAAGCAGGCACAGGGACATTTAGGGGACACAGACTCACAGGACTCAAAAAATCTCCCAAACTCTCAGAGTCCGTTCCCCTGGCCTAAGGCTGTGTTTAGGATAGCTCAGACCTGGCCTGATATTTATTGCCTGACTTGTTCTGACAATCCTTCAAAGGTGGAGGTCTCATGATCCTCCTGAGAAGTCTGTTCCAGCACCTCATTACTTTCACCATTTGAAGATTTGCCCTGGGAGGACAGGTTCAGATCTGGATTCAGCAACCCAAATATTAGCATCTACCAGCCAGCCGCGTGCTTCCCACTCACCGGAGATCTGGGGCTCAGTTTGGTCACCGACATGCCAGGATGTCCTGCTCCCCAGGGCCATGGATCACCTGCAGGTCCTGTCTCTGAATCCAGACCCCCATCCAGCCTCTCTCTTGGTGCATTATCAGCTCGTTATTTTTTACCTACAGCCACTGTGTAGGACATCAGGTCAGTGCCTTACCCTCTGTGGCAGCCACTAACATGCCGGAGGACCTTCATGGATCCCCTCAATTTTCCCTTTTCTGCACTAAACACACCCATTTCTTTCTGTTTTCCAGTTGCCCATGATATGGAAAGTAAACAAGGTTTGTACAGTAGCTGGGTATCTGTTTATCCAGACTTATTAAAAGAAAAAGGTTTTTAATTTCTTCATATATCCCTTATGTTCAGGTGTTTAGAAATAGGTAACATTTTCTCTATGGGAGCATAAAACCTTTAACTCTCAGTGATTTTATTTATTAATTAGCGTCTTGCACATTGCCATGGCAACTGGCTTCATTCGTTTTCAATCTAGATAGGAGCCACGGTCAGCGGCAGAACAACCCGCTGAAGTCACTCATTTGTCTCCCATTACCAGTGTATCCAAGTCCCAGTGTGCTCGGTAGGAACCCTTCCCATCACAATAGAGGGTCTCAAATCATAGTTTATCTGCATGGAAATCACCAATGTTTTTTGATAACTACTAATTGAGGTAATGTAAAGCCCTGAGGTACGCCCTTCTATGTCTCCTCATCAAAAGCCTGCAAAATGCAGGCCATCGTCATCATCATCACCACGATTTTGTAAAGTGCCTGTATCCAGAGAAGCTCCACGACTTTTTCTGGCACAGGCGTGAACATCACGGACATCTCACATAAAATGACAGGATACCAGCGAAAGGTGACCTCATAGAAAAATGGGCCAAGGCACTTTGGGGCCTGATCCAGCTCCCATTTAAGTTAGTGTGAGTCTAAAGGCTATAAATAGTGCTGCGAATGTTATCCAGTACTTTACTGATAGCCAGAACAGAGCTCGGAGCACAAGAATTAAGGCTGTGTGGAGGAGACTGGGCCCCGTCCGCTGCTTCAATCCCACTGAAGTCCTCCTGCAGAGAGATAAATGTCATCATTCTGGTGGGTAGATCACTTAACTCAAGAAGTAACTATCCCAGAGGTGAGAAATATGCGACATATTTGCGTTTTCCTTGGAGACTGGCCTGATAGTCACATTTCCATGCAAAGATGGTCTACAGAAATGCTGACGACCGTGCAAGTTTGCCAACGTGCTGTTAAACTCTTTGCTGCCCCACGTGTCAATGGCTAACAGCAAAATATATGCATCGAATGAACTCTTCTCTCCCTACATGCACATGACTCATGCACACATTTACAAGACACATGCGTATCCTCAGGAGAAGGAGTAGGCTAGGTGAGGACAATCATGGTGCAAGTCACACTCTCTTTTTTTGTTTTTGCTTTTTCTCCCCGCTCATTTTCAGACTGTGCGTGAAAGCATCTGCTGTTCTGTAGGTGATTGCCAACATCTGGTATGGATGTCATACTGAATTATGCTAATACTTTCTCACATCTCATAGGAGGAATGGATGGTGGTGTGGGATCTTGCCATTTCTCATTGTTTGGTGTTGCTTGCATTTTCTATGGTTTCTGATTTGCATTTGAAAACTGATTATTTGAGTAACCTCTGAATGTGTTAATTTTTACCTGCATTAACAAACAGGGATGTTTGGGCCAAATCCTTCTTGATTTCTGCAGGTGTCAGGCTGCCTATACAGCCCTCATTCCACTGATTTTGGATCTCGTGGTGGTGTTATGTCACGCAAGCAGGATTTGGCCCAGAAGTGTGGAAAGAATTCAGTGATTCAGGAAAAGCCTGTATCGATTACTCCATAGGGAGTAATCTGTAGACCCATTGTCATTAACTGGTGTAGCTTTGGATCAGATCCTCAGTTTTTGCTGCATGCTGTCTGGTTTGATGTTTGACTTGCAAGAATTAAGTAAATGCCCTTAATGCCCCATAAATAGTATCTTCTATTAAGCTATATTGCAGTGCTTTCATTGGCACTATTTCAAAGGAGGATTATTTATCTAGAAGATTTAACAGTGCTCTAAATTTGAATACATCCAGCATTGCTTTTACAAAACATGGGATTGATTCAGAGAAATGCAGAGCACCTGCAAGGGGTTCTGGGTGTCCTTATTTCCCCTCAGCCCTTCCATTTATGAGGCACAGAAAGTTTAAATGAATGGTGATTTAAACACTTTGCTTAAGAGTGAGTTGTGCCAAGCAACTTGATGGACGCCACTTAATTTTCTGGGCAATTTTTGTTTTTAAAGGGTGAGAAAAAACCAGTTAGATTGTAAGTATACCACTCCCCAAATGGTTTTCCTGGAAAGTTTTAACAAAGGTCCAGGAGGCAGAGTACAAGTTATTTTTAAATGGTCTTTAATTACAGCAATTGTATTACTAAAGCATTCTCTTCTTAAACTGTTCAGAAGCCTGTATGCTATTAAAACAAAAACAGAAAAAGAAAGTAAAGCAGAAAGCCCTCTCATAAAGAAATTATTTGATACCTGCAAGGAATGAACTTGTAAAACTAATAGTATAGGATTACTATTCTATTTAAAACCCCAGTAAGTAAACTGAGAAAAACATGTTTCATGAAATGACCTTGAAATTAACAATACTGGGGCCTGATTTTGAAAACAGATAGTCTTTATTGGTGATTAGGGTTTTGTAGGTCTTGTTTCCTAATATTATCCCTATTCACATTAGGACTCCCATTGTCCTTGCCCATGTGAGTAAGATTAATTAGTGTACTTAGATGATACAAATGCAGCCTCCAAGCTTGCATTTGTATAACAAACAAATAAATGTGCAGCAGGGATTCCACAGAGGGTACTGAATTAAAAGAATTTGTGGATTGGCTTTTTTCCCTTTTTTAAGACTCGGTTTGCATTTGGAGTTCCCAAGTTTCACCAGCTTCGGTGAAGAAACATCTGCGCATTCAAAGGACAGCCAATGATGAGAATCATCAAAAACATTTCAGAATATTAGATAAAATAAACAGCTATTCTAGTGCATTTAGAAATCACGTTTCTTTTCCCCCACCTCACTACTTGTTTAAGACCTGGCTGTCTTAAAGGTCTTATACTCTTAACATTGGATAAGGGTGAGACCCCAGGAAGTCCTTCAGAACTGGGCTGCAACTAAAACTAGTTTCACTTCAGGTATGAAGTTCACCCAAGACTAGATTATCAGAAGAGCTATGCTTTTTATTTAGGTATCAAAATGGATAGCCAAATCTACAGATGGATTCAAAAGTTCAAAGCTGGCCTTATTCTAGGTACCTGAATAGAACTGACCTCATTTGTAAAATCTCTTTCTGGTGAGGAGTGCAGATAGCACAAATATCCAGCCTTTGCCTAACGTTTGTACTGCAATATTTTTTGCTTTATTTTTGAGTAGAGCAGGGACCTGTCTAACCTGTCACTCTTTACCATGCCACAAATTATATTTAAAGAGGCAAACAAAGAATTTAGTGGAGAAAGGGGGTTACCCACACCTGATGGGTCAGTCCTTTTTGGTTAAATGGCCTTTTTATAGATGTTAATATCATTCACAGGTAAACCTAATGGCAATACCCTATGCAGGAGCGGAATATTTTAGGCTGCTGGATACAGGGACTGCTAGACCTGTTGGCCATTCTAGCAGCTCATCCTCCTTTGAGAAACTATGATTTCCCCTTACTTTAACCGCAGGATTTTAAGCAGGAATAAATACCCATTTTGCCTTCCTATGAGTCCTCAAGTACCTTTTCATATTATTTTAAATTATACAGCACTAGCTCAACCTTTGTGGCTGCCAAACTCTTGGGGTGGAATTCCAGGGAACTGAGATTTAATGTGTATGATCATATTCAGTGAGGAAATCAATGTGCTTCTGAGTATTGCCCGGGAGAATTCCTCCTGTTTCCTCTTTGCTTTTTCTTTTTTCCATTTAACTCGATTTCTCTTACTGCTGCCATACTGGTGACACTGATTATCAGAAACACTGATTACTACTTATTGAGTAATAATTAACTATAAATAGGAAAGAAACAACAAAATTGCTGCCATTGTGCAGCCGATATTAATGCCCAACTACAGCACGCAAGTTCGGAAGAAGGGTCTTTTTTTGAAAAGAGTGGTTTTTGTCGTATTCATGTAATATATAAGCTCAAATAGTGCTGATCTCCAGGAACACTTCAAAAGCAAGCAATATCTTTTGAGAAAACAGTATAATTATTTATATCTGTATATTTATAGAATAATAAACTGAAGCTAGTGTTACAGGGTGAAATAACACAGGAGAAGCTAATTTGTGTGACCCAAGCCTTTGGTGTTTGTAATAAGATGAATATCTACATTGGCAGCATATTATAAAATGATTAACTTCGCCCAGGTATTGTTGGAGCCTCAGGTTGTTTTACTCAAATAGTTTCCACTGGGTTTATTTGATTGCCCATATTATTTGGCTTATTTCTAATCCCAAATTCTTGTTGTCTTAAGCAAATGAATTGAAGGCAGAGGAATTATTCATATGAGGACAGCGAGCTTGATTTGGCAGTAAAATATGTAAAATAATCAGGGAATAAATAACATTTCCGTACCTCTTCATCTGTTTATGTGAGGGATAAAGTTATCAGAATTACCTGAGTGATTTAAAACTAATTCACATTCTCAAAATTCAATGGGATTTAGGCTTTACAGCCTTTACTGCAGCTCCATGAAAATATAAAAGACATTCTGTATTTTCTTCATCCATGAATATTTTTGTGTCTCAGTGTTCCTCCATCCAGTTCTTTCCCTCCATTTTTAAATCAGTGTTTGTGTAAGAGTAATACCAAGACTTTTGTCCAGACAAAAGTAGGCCAAACTAAATGTTCATAGTGATCACTTGTCTCTCGTTTCTGCCGTCCAGTTACAAACGTAGTAGAAACCCTTCCGATTTTCCCTTCCATAGAGATTTTCATCATGAAAAGTAGCTATCTGCAGACAGGTTTCAGCCTCTCAGTCTATAAACTCTTGGCTTTTATCTCCTTAGGACTGAAGACCATTGTAGGGGCACTTATCCAGTCTGTTAAGAAACTTGCTGATGTGATGATCCTGACCGTTTTCTGCTTGAGTGTCTTTGCCCTCATAGGCCTCCAGCTCTTCATGGGCAACTTGCGACACAAGTGTGTCAGGGACTACACCAAGTTTAACTCCACCAATGGCACGTTGTACTTGGACGGTAGGATGTGGAACACCTCAGAGGAATTTGTTAGTGATCCAGGTAAGCTCTTCCTTACCCTGTTGTCTGTTTTTTGGTTGTGGGTTTTTTTTTATTATTATATTGACCAAAATCTATATGTGAATCAACAAATGCAGCATTACGTGACTCCTGGCTCTTCATGACGTTGATGTGGTTTTGAAAGATCTAGGAAGCTTTTTCTGATCTCTGTGGTGCCTCCACAGTTCATGCTGAAAGTATTTCTGGTACTTTCCTACGATACAGACTAAGGTCCTTGTTGCATCATTGATGATTTTCACAGTTTTAGGGTGTCTCACAATATTTTTCTTAAAGCTCCCTTTCCTGGAATTAGTCAAGCCCATGAAAATTTCAGCTCTGTGTGTGGGTCTGGTTTGCACACTGTTTCTTTAAGACAATTAATAGCTCTTGCATTCTCTAGCAAATCTTCAAAATTTGAATTAGGGGTCTTAAAAAATCAAAAAGCGAAGCAGAGCAATTCAGTGTTTATTAATCTGAAAAATCCCAAGAGCATTTTTTTAAGGAAATCTTATGCTATTAGGGCCTTAACTCATTATCGGGGTTGGGCCATCCTGCAGTATCTGGTGCTCTGATGTTTATTATCAAAAGGCTTGTTTTCTAGGCCAAAGCAATTTTTAATACTCTACAGTCTGCTATACTTTCAATTACAATGAAACAGGTTCACTGAGCTCATTTATTAACATTTAAAACAAATAAGCATTTCATGTAAATAAACTTCAGTATGTAAACATGTGGCCCAGCTGTTGCTGCTCCCAACCCCTCTGAGTCACCGGAGGACCCATACCAATTGCAATGGATACGGACTCGCATCTAAAACAATTCAGTGATACTCTTGAGGGAAGGAAGCAGCCAGACTGATGTGCGCCGGTAGGAACTTATGATCAGTGACCTTTGGGATTTCATTTATTTTGAGGAGAAGAATGAACCACATAATCAACTCATTAACTGGAAATGTGGTTGGGAGGAAGTGGCGTAGTGTCACGGGGTACCTCTGCTCTGACTGTGTGGACCCTTCAGTCCTGTATCTCCAGCCATCTGCACTATAAAAACCCCGTGCCTGTCTCCTGGAAGTTGCCTGGCTTGACCCAGGACTCTGTTGAATGTCTGGCACAAGGTTGCCCCCAACTCATGCTGGCTTCTCAGTATTGTACACCTCTTCAGCCAGGCTACATGGTCCAGGGATTGGGCCAAGGGCAGTCCCACCATTCCCCACTGGTGACTTCTGGCCTTTCTGCTCAATTCCTCTCCCTGCAGACTGAGCAGCCCTGGAAGCAGTGGTGTTAGAAAGGTTTCATTCAAGGAATAAAAAGCTCAACATTGGTGTCTTTAATGTATGATGTGGTTGATGCAACATTAGGGAAGGGCAGCTTACGAAGCTCTGGCTGAATGAGGGCCATCTTTGGGACTAACCCTGACCATCAGGTTATGTGTCCCCTCAGTGTTGTCCTCTCGTCAGCTGAAAGGGGAAAGAGCTGTGTGCCAGAGCTAAAAAACCACACCAGATCTATGCTGGCCGGTGATGAGCCTGCTGACATGTTTTCCCACCCAAGCTGTCTGTGCTTCCAGCTTGGAGATGAGTGCTCGTGGAGCTAATAAAGATACCTTTGCACCTATGGTGGATTAAGGCACTTCACGGCTCCTCTACCCACAGATAACTGACAGCTGTGTGCGGTGCTGCTCTCCCTCTCTCATAGAGGCTTTGAGAGATAAAATAGTGATGGCTGTGGTGCTGCTCTCCCTCTCTCATAAGGCTTTGAGAGATAAAATAGTGATGGCTGGAAGTATAAAGCCCTGCAATAAAGGTGAAGGTATGAAATGGAGCTGTGAAGATAGTCTGACTCTCTGGAAATGGAAGTAGGGTAAATGTACCACTGGATAGTCTCTATAAAAATATAGTTAATGTCAGGGCCAGCTGCAACATTGTTTTAAACGGGAGGAATTGTACAGCTGCTCCAGCATACCTTGAGCAAGTCTGTTTGTGTAGTCCTGATACGGGAAGGAGGGGAGATGCTCCCATAAATCCATTTAGTAAATCCAGCAATGGTTAATATGGTCATGAAAATATACTTGTTATCACTAAAGGAGATTTACCTATTACAAAGATAATCAACTTGGTGAGATAATGGATTAAAGTGAATTAAACTTTGACCATGTGGTATTAATAGTAAGTAATAATCATATCAATGAGTGTTTTCATGTTTTCATAATATCTGAAAATAAAGACACGGTGCATTATGGCAAACAGCCATCAGTTATGGTGGATGGACAAAAATGATTTAAATAGTTGAAGTGCTGAGTCAGTGCAGCAGGCCACTGAAGAACTAGAAGAAAAGTAGATTTACAGGAAAAATGTACTGACCTCTGAATAAGAATAATGAAGTGTTCCTCGAAATGCTGGAGAAGGTGGCTTAGCTGTTAGGCTAGGGAGAACCATATTAAGTAGGACTTTCATTTAATGTTGACTATTGCACTAAAGCAATTCAGAAATGGAAAGACTGACTCATTTTGTAACTAGATGGGATAGTGCTTTATGTTTCATTTTGTATAAGTATTATGGTAAAATGGAGTGACTGCTTAACAGAGTAACACTGACGACAGTTTAGTAACAGTCCAAATTTCAAGTACTGCAGGGAATTAAGCAATACATACAGTTAGACTAAAGTGTAGGCAGACCAAATTAGATAAAAAGAGGAATATATTAAGAAACAGAGTAGTGTCAGTGTTTATTTTGAAGAAGAACTAGAGAAGAAAATTGGCCAATGTGTTGAGATAGTAGAGTTCACTTGAAGGGAGCACAGACAATTACAAAAGCTCTTTGGAGACTTCAAAACCAGTGTGGCTGAGTCACTTAGTTTGGAGCAGGGATGCTAATCTAAAAAACAGAAAACAGAAACCTGAAGTACTGTCAAAGATTCATAATAATACTTAAAAAAAAAAAAAGGATGTAAAGAAATAAAGAAGTGAAAAACACTCGAAAGCAAAATTGAAAAAAATGAATTGTTACTTCTGTTCATCAGGACACCAATATAGAGAATCAAAAAGGGCTGATATGCCAGTTCTGCTCTTCATGGAGAGCAAAAGTTTGCTTTGGATTCTTTGAGAGAGTTTTTAAGGTTTTAAAGGACAGCAGGAAGCCTATGAAATGGCATCAGCCTCCTCTTGTGCCTTTAAACATTTTGCATGAATGGAAAAACAAAATGAGTGGAACCCCTTAAAAGGGTAATACTCAGCACCAAGAATGGCCTGGTGCTGCAGAGGAAATAGCAGAAAGACTTAGTCATGATGTGCAAAGAAAGATAAGAACTGTGTTTTCAGTCTTTCTGAGACCTTTTTAGTTTGAGATAACTGTGTGCCACAGGCACTTGGTGCAGGAGACATTTTGGTTTTGTAGAAGGCCTGGGATAGCTTCAGCTCTGCTTTTTTATTCAAAACTGACTTGGTATACGGACTAAATTGCATCCTCTTTCCTTAGCTCCTTTCAGCCCCCAGGCAGGAAGTTTTTTCTCATCTAAGTCCTCTTGTTTTGATTTTATACATGGGGAAAAAAGCCAGTTTATAAACTTTGTTTGCATCTTCATTGGCTTAACCAAAATTATATGGTAACACTTGATTTTTGGTTGATCCTTGAGGAAATACCCACCGTGCCCCCAGGGTTCAGGAACTCCTTCCCGTAGCTACATACCCAGGACCCACATGTACTTTCCTGCTCTACCACTGTGGTCACCACGCCTATCTTGGCTGATGGCGCAGGTGATGCCTGGCCTCTCTGCTACCCCTGTTCCTGCCTCCACCACCAGTAAAGGCAGCGTACCAGCACCAGTAGTGGTGGTGGCCGGAATGGTGGTGGCAGAAGAAAAACCTTTGTTTCCTAAATCTGGAAAAAAAAAAATTGGTCTATTTCTGTGCATGATAGATCCGTAAGCAGTCAGCCCCCACCACCTCCCCCCTCAGGCCTTTGGCTGTTACTTAATCTTTCTTGCATGAACTTGTCAATCCTACATTGCAAGGTTGCTAGCATTGTTGAGAATTGTTGGGTTCGCTCCTCCTGTTGTGCATCTGCCATGAGACAATCATATAAACTAAATCCCATAAGGAGTAAGGATTTCCTACCTATCCACCCACCACTTTGCTTGTTCTTGCCGTCGTTTTGATGGCTCCTGCAGCTGGAGGAAATGCCAGGTAACTTGGGAAGCAAGGGACAGAGCCCTTAAGCATGGAGGTTCAGTGGGAAAATTCACGCTGAGAGATCTCTTCTATTTAACTTCACTGATCACTAAGTCCTAGCATACAAAAGCGACATTGAATATTCCCAACCAGAGCATCAAGAAGGGGACTTTCTTGGCATTGTCATTCAAAGCTTAATTCTGTGAAAGAAACTTCCTCTAAGCTACTGCAGGTGCCTCTGGTTTCTCAGCTTAGCTACTGGGCACAGCAGTCATGGTAAGGTGAGATACCTGCGTAGTCCTTCCTCAACTCACAGTGTTGAGGCAGATCGAAAATCTGCCTTTTGGTGGGCACATCTATCTCATGATGAACAGGAGGATTTTTCTATTCTTTCCACCAATTTAAATGACACTAGATCTTCACAATTTACACACCAACCTCTAAGAAGAAGGCTTATCAGAAAAGTTAGTCCAGTCTGGTTTTGCCTCCGATGAGTAATGCTTATCACTGCAAACCTAGGAAGGGGAAAAAGGAAGATTAAGGCAGAAGTAGCTCCTCAGGTCTCCCAGCCTCCTCCGTAGGACTGTTCTTTGCCTGTATGAATGGAGTGTGGGGTGGTGGATGGTTGAGCATTAGACAGAATCAGGCTAAAAAATTCTTGATGTCAAGTGCCAATGGTAAAGTTAAAATGGAGGCACAGCTTGTTCAGCTGGGAAAACACTGGCTACCAGTAAGTAATTATTTTCCTACCTGCAATTGTAGATTTGGTAAGGGACTGCAATTAATGAACCCAAGGAGGATTATTTTTAGACATTAATAATAACAAACCTGGGCATCTG